GTAGTTTAACCTTAGGAGTCGCGAGTAATTGACGTCATATTAACGTCAAAGAGTAGATATTGAGCAAGATAGTTATCTGTAGTTTACCTAAGTACTCGCCAGTAATTATTATTAATATTATTTTGATTTGATTTTTCTTCTATATTTTTAACATTTTCATTTCACACAGCTGTACCACATTTGTGCGGGAACAGTGGAGATGCAGATGGCGCTTTTCTTGGTCTGTTTTTCGCCTTTTTTGCGAGTTTTTGGAGTCCACGTCTAGTCAGCTGTTGAGCCTTTGAGCCATGGATCTATTGTTTTACGCTGGTGAATAGCTGCTGGCGCTGAGCCAGGCCACGCCACCGTAGGGGAGAGACCGGACATCCCCGATGAGCTGGAGGAAGAGAGGATACAGGGCAGGAGTGAAGGTCGGGAGGAGAGGAGAAGCTACAAGCCGTCTGTCTGTCCATCATCATGGGATACGTGAAGTCTGTCCCTAACGGCCTGGAAGAGCTAACGGCTAACAGTGCTGACCCGGCTGCAGTGGGAGTATCGGGACTGCAGCCTCATGTTGTTCACGGAGTCATGGCTGAACGAACTCACTTCGGACTCGCTCGTAACTTTGGACGGATTTCACCTGGTCAGAGCGGACCGGAGCTGGAGGGAGAGAGGTAAGAAGAAAGGCTGGGGCCTGGCCATGTATGTGAATGAGAGATGGTGTAATGCTGGTGTAGGAGGATCGTTTGTTTCGTCCTCTCTCGCTCCCTCCCTGCTCCTCTTCTGATTGGTGGGCGGCGCTGTGGAAACGGCGTGTATTTATGCGCCGGCACGTACCTGTGTCTCCTTCCCCTCTCAGCATTGGTGCTGTGGTGCGGGTCGCTTGGCGTGCGGCGACGTTGTGGTTTTGTGCCGTCTTGTTGGCAGCTGCTGGACACTCTGCTGTGTAAACGGTAAGCACGGTTTCCTCTTTCCACCGATCACCGGTGCATACAGCTGTTTATATGCATTGTGTCTGCAGTGTGTGGCGTTGTTGGCTGGTGGTACCGCTCGCTCTCTGCTTTGGACCGGCTTGTGGTGGTCGCCGTATCTGTGAGGTAGGCCAGCTACTCTGCGCTGCTGCTGCTCTTTTGTAAACTAAGTTTAAGTGCCAGTTTACTGTTTAATTTCTGGCTTTCTGCGCAGCTGTAGAGCCGTCTGCGTCACGCTCCCAGTTTCCACATTCCGGCGCGCGGCCTGTTCGAAGCGGGCCGCCACTCCGAACGGAGCTGCTGTTCTTAAACTGTCTTCAGACGCTGTTGGAGCGGGTTTTTTGCTGTTTTATGCCGCTTTATGTTCTCGTTTTCCTTCGTTCCGTTCTGCTCTTGGTTCCGTTTTGTTGTGGCACTCTTTTGCTGCTCTCCGCTGCTTTGTGGCCTCGGTTCGTGGTGTGGTCTGTCACCACGAGCAGCAGGTAGGACTGTGTGGCCACCAAGCGGAGCTGGTGTCTGGGGGTGCAGCAGGTCCAGTTTTATTCCTGCGCCATCTTAATATAGATAATTAATTTGTTAACTTCTTAATTTTGGTTATTTTTCTTATCTTTTGCAAGTTTAGTGTGTTTTGTGTATTTTATTAAATTGGTTATTGCTGGCGTGATTTAATTCTGTTTCTTTGTGTTGGACAGGAGCTGTGGGTCCTGGAGTGTGTGAAGTGCACTCTGGGTGTCTTTGGTTTGGTGTCACTTGCTGTTTTAAGTTGAGCCCCATTTTTCCTGCTGGCTGCCCCGGTAAGCCCCAGCCCTAGTCCCCCTGTATATTTAGTTTTGTTTTCAGCAGCATTACCAGCATTTGTAAATCCTATTAATGAGGGCTAGTTACCCTGTTATTATGACTTTGTTAGAAATAAAGTCATAAGTGGGAATCATGTCTCCAGCTCTCATGTGTGAATCGAACCTGTGACCTGTCAACATACACAAACTATTTCCTCCTGGGGTGAAACTCCCCAGGTGGCGTTGTCTGCAACTCTTACAACCAAAAACTCTACCGCTCTGCCACACTGGCACACTAGCGTTAGAGAGCAGCACTGCACAAAGGATGTTGAACTGCTGGCGGTTGGTTTGCGGCCGTTTCACCTGCTGAGGGAGTTCTCACACATCCTGGTGATGACACTTTCCATCTCCCTGTCGGCTGATGCTGCTGCAGCCTGTGAGCTCATCCATAGTTCAGTGTCCCAGCTGCAAACATCACAGCCTCAGTCTCTGATGGTCATCTCAGGAGACTTTAATCATACATCGCTCTCTACCACTGTCCCCACATTCAGCCGGGATGTGGACTGACTTGAACCTGCTGTGTGTAAACACTGAATGCATATTACTCAGTTATTTTCTGTGTTTTTGGGTGCTGCTGTTTATAATTTCCCAGGTCTGGGATAGTCTATTCTATTCCATTGTAATTAACGTATTAACCCCCAAAGAGTAGATACTGAGCAAGATAGTTATCTATAGTTTACCTCAGTACTCCCCATAGACTGTATAAAAGATGGACATAGCAACCAGCCCTGAAAAACAAAGCCAACCCAAAGTGTCAAAAACCTGCAGTGTCACTGCCATAGATATATAATAAAGGCCTTTATTACAAATATCGATGATCGTTAAGTCTGCTGGTTGCTGGCTCCCAGAAACTTGAATTGTAAACAAAGTGTTCACAGATCACGAAATACTGTTTTTCTACAGCTCAGGATGTTTTTTGTTGGTTTTCATGGTCAAATCCAGAGATCAGGTGGCCAATCTGAAAATAAATTAACACTGAATTTTTAAAAAATCGTCAATTTTGCGGGGCAGGGGGCGTGTCTGGCTTGATTGACAGCCTGGTCAGGAATGATTGACAGGTGGTAGGGAGGAGGCAGCCTGGAGCCTCATTCACCGTAAACTCAGGTCTCCTCCTCGTCTGGATTTCCTTCTGATATAATTGTTAGGTTGTCGTTATTTACCCGGGNAGCCCTGATTTAACTGTAAATTCAAAAATAGTTGTTTTTGTTGCAGCTAATATCTTAAACTCAATTAACCCTTACAGCCTGCATTATTTCATTAGCTTAGATAAAGATGGGGGAAAAAACACTTTTACTTCACTACAATAGTGTAATGTCAGTTCTGGTGTTTGGGTTCCCTTTATTTGATTAAATTTTTTATTGGTTTTTATATCCAGCTAAAAAAGAAAATAACATAAAACGGGGTGGATTTGAGCCACTTTATTATCGAGAACAGAGTTTTTTGAGTTACATAGACTGCAGGTTAAACCCTATAGGCACTTAGAGGACTAAGACCTCTTCGGATACAGAGTAGATTTTCATTTTTTCCAGAATTCTATATATTGATCTGGATATAATCAGTTTTTCCAGACAGCTTATTTCTTACAGTTTGCCTACCAGCAGCCCTTTATTGTGAGTGGGTGGTTGTCTGCAGTCATCAGCAGTTTTCTTTTTTTTTTTTTTTTTTGCCAGAGATAATCATCCCGAGTCACCCACAAGTTTTACATTTCAGATCACGTCAGTGTTTTCTGTCTCGGTGTGTTTGCAGGTCTGGAGTCTGGATTCGTCACTCTGCCCCGCCTCTCTCGCCTTGACAGACAATTCCAGGATGGAGACGTCCGCAAAGGGTCTCTCCCAGAAGGCAGCGGCATCACCCTGACGCGCTCCGACTCCCTCACCTCCTTCACTGTGGACCTCGGCCCTTCTCTCATGGCCGAGATGCTGAGCTTGATGGACAACCCCAGCTGCCTTCAGACATCCAATCACAGCCGGGCGGCAGGTGAGGAGGAGGAGGAGGAGAGAGGGAAGGAGGAAGAGGATGATGACGGCTCTCTAACAGAGACGCCTGTGCAGACCCCTGCGGTGACGTCACCGAGCGCCTCCATGTGCCGTGGGGCATTTGGTCGGAGTAGCAACAACAGGCGCTCTTGTAGCTCCAACTGGACAGATCAGGAGGAGGATGGGAGGTCTGCACGGACGCCTGATGTGTCGGCTGGGTCTCCTCTGACAGCAGAGCCTGCGATGGAGGCAGAAAGGTTCCAGAGGGCAGCAGACGTCCTGTCTCGTCATTACGGCGGCGGGTCCTTCACAAAGGGGGTGAGGAGGAGCAGCAGCAGCAGCAGCAGCTCACCGGCTTTTTCCCCAAGCCACAAAACACCATGTGCCTTAAATGAAGAGGAGGAAGAGATCAAAGTCTGAGGTCAAACTCTTAAACCATCCGTCCTAAGTCAGGAAAGATGTAATGTGTGATGTTCTGTTGTCCTCCACAGAAACGTTTCTCCTCTTCTTACATGAACACACATGGTAAGTGATGAACTGGTCCTGTTCAGGCCCTGAAGAAAACACATCAGCTGTCAGTCCTGACTCCGGACCGTCTTTCTCTCCGTACTACATTCCTCATGTGATACTTTACAGATTATTTATCGGATTCCTTTCAGGACGTAGACATCTAACACTATATAATCACAACGTTTACCAACAAAAGACTTAAAGGTCTGAACCTGGGATTTGAGCAACACATATCTTCATTTTATTACAATACTGCATACATTGTGAATCTGTCATTAGGGAATAAAGTACTTTTTTTTTTTCTTTTTTTTTTTTACAGTTGTACATTTCTAATATTCACCTGAAGTCTCTGTGACGACCTCCTGTAACTCGTATAAAATTCATCACTGTTAGACTTCATGTTCTAAAAAGACTGAGTTGATGTAATAAAATGACTGATTGAAAACAGAGCGAATCTCTTCATTTACATTAATGATGTAATTCCAAGTCCTATGACCGTCTCACACAGTGTTCAACAGACGTGAGCAATATCACCTAAATGCCAAATTAAAAATTGTAGCACCTGACAATAACTGTACAGCCTCTAAGTTGAACAGTTCTTATTTGTTTTAATGTAAAATTAAAAC